ATTCTGTGTTTTTCTGTCAATATGGGGTGCTGTGTGTACATTAATGAGGAAAAAAATGAACTTAAATGATTTTAGCATATGGCTGCAATATAACAAAGGGGGAAAAATTTAAGGGGGTCTGAATACTTTCCGTACCCACTGTAAATGCTTAAACATTATACTTAACTGAATGCTCTATTAAAAATGCATATTTTGAGTATCAAACAGACCTCATGTAGCCTTTAAAGGTGGCTCGGAGAGCTTTGATGATGAGCCATGATGCTCTGAGTTTCTCTCCTCTCCTCTCCTCCCCTCTCCACTCCTCCTCTCTCCTCTCCTCCCCTCTCCACTCCTCCTCTCTTCTCTCCTCCCCTCTCCTCGCCTCTCCTCTCCTGTCCTCTCTCTCTCTATGCTTCTATATGCCACCATTACTCATCACTAACTGTGTGTCTCCTCTCTCTCGTAGTGTGTCCTCTCTCTCTCCCTGTACCTTTCTGCAGGTTGCCCTGGCCCTGGAGCTCTCTGACGAGCAGTCACCAGCCACATCGACCTGATCAGTGTTTGATTGTTGTGTCTTGTTGCTTTTCTTCTTTTGTCTCTCCTCTATCCACTCACCCCAACCGGTCGAGGCAGAAGGCCGCCCACCAAGAGCCGGGGTCTGTCGGAGGTTTCTTCCGTTAAAGGGAGTTTTTCCTCCCCACTGTCGCCAAGTGCTTGCTCAAGGGGGATTTGTTGGGTTTTCCCTATGTAATAATAGTGATAACAGTAAGGTCTAGACCTTACTTTGTAAAGTGTCCTGAGATGACTTTTGTTGTGATTTGGCGCTATACAAATAAAATTTGAATTTTTTTTTTTAAATTTGAATCTCATCCTCTGCTGTTGATAACTATGTTCCAAACAATCCTTGCTTGAAGTAAATACTCCAGTTCTAGCAGAGCTTCAGAGGAGTCACATAACAGAACACAGTGGATTGCCTGCGTTGTGGAAAAACTGGGAATGGTTAGTACCCACCAAACATAGTCACCACAGAATTGGATTCTGCTGTGGGAGTGATTGTGAAATTTCTAGAAATGCCACATGTAGCTGCTGTGAATCTAAGCTACAGCAAGTACAAGGGCTGTTTTCTGCATTCGCAACATTTTTTGTGACATATTTCTTAAACATTTAATTAACTACATTTAAGGATAATCACCTTTATTGGCCAAGTATGTTACACACAAGGAATTTGTTTCCGGTACAGAACCGAGGCAGCCATCTGCAGCACCAACTCGGGGGCAACAGTGTCTTGCCCAAGGACACTTGGACTGCAGGCACTGAGATTTGAACCTTCAACCTTCTGGCTGGGAGACAGCTGTTCTACCCACCGCACTGTCGCCTACATAATTTCTCACCTACATATTGTTTTTAGTCATCCTTTCATTCAAGGATTGGATACTCATTAAAAATGATCCGATCACAGATTACCATTAGAATGCTCTCCATGATTAGTAGGATGTACATTTTCCCTCTTATTTTACACATGTAGTACTTGTTTTATTTGTGTCTCGCATCTTTCAGCTGATATGTAGGATCAAGGTGTCCAGCCTCGTCTCCTGACTTCTTTACCAGTCAGTATCTGTGCCTTTTAGACCAGATGAGTGTGTACCCAACTGGTTCCGCCAGTCTAGCCTGGCATTTTTCATTTATTTGATCAGTTACTGGTCTTCAAGTGTTTGTAAGTGCGTTTGATTTTCTCAAATTTGTATAAATTGCTAAAACCTCTGGGTGTATTAGTTGAACTATTGCATGCTGATTTTTGGCATGTTTCTCTGACAACAGATGCACCAGACTGTGTTACTGGTGCCCTGGTGATCATAGTAAGTACTTGCCTCTTCATCACATGACACAATTGACCAGTTAACTTTTCACACCCCTGAAACACCAAAATAGGGCAACTGTCAGGTAACTTGTCGAAATATGCCTCTGCTGTCTTTCTTGCTTCACAGTCTTACAACTACAGGTCACTGTTTATCAAGAGTACACTTTGTTTGTACTCCTGTAATCCACACATTTCCACTCTGCTGGGGAGACACCTGCAGGCTGAGGAGTCAGTTCAGGGCCTGAGTAATTTTTTTTTTTTGTATTCTTACATTCATAGTGAGCAATATGATAAGAGGAAATGAGCTGATTTTGCATGTGAGACGTTGCAGTGAAAGTGATTTTGGACGTCATCTCTCTCTCTCTCTCTCTCTCTCTCAGTCAGAGGGCTACCAGGGCTGGACTGAGAGAACTGGCTCAAGTGGGTCATTAGTCAGTCACTAACTCACTCCCCTGCCATCGTCACATGCTTGAACTTTTGAGAGCAAAGGCTCGGTCCCAGGTTTTAGTTAGTGACTTTAACCTGTGCAGTTTCCAACTTTTTTTTAAATGAAATGCACAGTATTGTAGTTACATGATTGAAAAATATTTAGTGCATTAGCTTTGTTCTTCACTTACAACGAACACTTTGGTATGGTTTGCGTTCTGTGGCCAGCTTTGGACCGAGATTTTGGGAAAACTGACCACCAGTCAGTAAGGTCTGTAACAGCCTTTTTCTTGACAAAAACATGCATTTAATTTTATGTGTGTGTGTGTGTGAGACTGTTCCTCGTATATGACCTCTTAAGTCGGTATTAATTTAGGTTTAAAAATAGGTTTATTAAAATCTGTGTAAAAATACAAACTAAATAGTGCATTAAAACAGATCAGTCAACTGTAAGATACTAAAAACAGCTATGTAATTTTAAACAAGTCAGTCAAGTGCAAAATACTGTGAAAAATATTCTTTTAAAATTTCATACTGTAGTTTTCATTAGCAGTACAAAACTATACATTTTTGTGAAAGTAAAATAATGTTAATTAAACAGTAATATGGTGGCAACCCTGCTGCCACTTGTTTACTGTTTTTTGTTTGTTTGTTTGTTTGTTTTGTTTGTTTTTTTACAGGAAAATATGTAACAGCATACTATCACCATAGACAACAGGCCCCCATCAATGTAGCTGCTTCATTTATTTGAGGGGTAACCAGTTAGTCAAACTGGACTTCCTTAGCAGAAAGAAAAACACTCCACAGAGCCCCTTTAAAAAACAACAACAACAAATAAAATGACAGACTTTACATAGGGAAACTATTTACTGGCCTGAACAGATAGAGACAGTGAAGAAACCGGAGTACATCAGGCATATACTGTATCACAGGTATTATATTTAGTAGTGTTAGCTTAGCTTAGTGATACTATACATTCTGTATATACAGTGCCTGATGCTACTGTATGCTACTTTTTGATAGTTTCTCAAAACTGTACAAATGGCAAAGTGTGACACAGAGTGACTGAAACACTTCATCTGTACAGTTTAAAAACAAACAAAGGCCTTAGATATAGTATTGTCATCCTATACCTTTAAATTCTTATTACATATCAAATTTAGCATGGTGCAGCTTATTTTTAATAAAATAATACATAACATTTAATATGGCTTTAAGGACGGCACGGTTTGGCATAGGTTGGCATAGTCACAATATGATACTTACAAAAACAAGATCCACAGTTCTTTACAATATATAAATATATACAAATACACAATTGTAGCTTACAGTACATATTACGTTGTCCCTTGTGAACTCATTTTTTCCAAAAGGTTATTTAGTCTCTCCAGGAATATTGTAATATTTTGAAGACTGTATGCTTCACATGGTCGACAGTCACCCTAAAATTCAAAGAGACACAATTAATTATACTTTTAAACAATTATAAAATTGTTAAAAGAGTGAAGCTAATGTGACAGTGATGCTTTGTGTAATATCTATGTTGTACTGAAGGTCAGGAAATTAATGTACTAGCACTGATCTATAAGGACGGTAACGACTATTTTAAAAAGTATAATGACTCATGAAACTTTTTTTTTTTCCAAAAATAAAAGTTCTAGTTAAAACATACTTCACATACTACTTGTAAACAGGACTTACAGAGTTATGCAGAGTTTCACTGAAATAATACAGATGGAAATAATCAAAGATGCATCGTTCTTTGGTTCCAAAAACTTCTGCTTCTACTTCTGCTTGTAGTTCTGCTTCGTTGATGGCCATCATCAACTCCAAAATGTAACATCTGAGCATCTCATTGTCACAGTTCTCCTAGGAGAGAAAAAAGTGCAGACACATACAGTTACAGATTCTATTTCAGATAAGAATTCCTTTGTGCTTATAGTTGTTTTGTCGTAGAGCAACGGCATGCATGATCAAAGTACATTTGAATGATCGATATACATTGATCATGCATACAAATCAAGAAAGAATGTGAATTCCATTTGAGTTAATTTGTTAATAGTACTGCTGCCCACCCAGCTAAACAATTTGCTGTGTAATAAATACATGAAGACTTATCTGCATACTTATGTCCATGTTGTGTGCCAGTGTTGTGATGGAGATCACTTGCCCTTAAAGCCGCCATAATCAAAATGTATATATTAACACTGACTACTTGTATGTGAAGGTGCTCACTCATATTGACAAACCTGTGTATTTCAGTTGATTTTGTTTTTTGTTTTACCCGTTTTACACTACCTTCTCTGCACAAAACAGCAGGTAGATTAAGTTAGCAGCTAGCTGGTGAACATAGTAGAATATTTAGCAGCTCGGTAAAGACAAAAGCAGAGCTAAAGGAAAGAGAATATTGGACTTAACATTCATTGGCTGGCCAGAAACACGACCCATAAATGCTCATTGTGATTTGTATGTCTGGTGGTCTGAGTCGAACTATAAACACTGTGCACTCAGTGTGCATCTGTGCATGGTTCTTCACTGAAACCACTGGACTATGGGTCAGCCCCACTGTCAGTACTTTCAGCCATATCACACAGCCTTTATCAAATCAACAGACAATTGAGCAAACCTCGATGAAGACACCTAATACAGTTGACCGCACTAGAAACATCCAGAGAAGAAACTTGATTTGGGAGTGTGGTGTCAAATTACTGAACTATCCAAAGCCAAGAATGAACTTTTTGCTTTTGTCCTCTGGAATTTATTTTTTCCAAACTGAAAGCAAAACGGATACGTGTACATTTACAACTTACGTTAATTTCATCAAGTGAAGGAGCATACAGTTCAGCGTCAGATTTCTGAAAAAGGTCAGAAAAAGTCAAATTCATAAATTAGAAAATTTGGGGTTTTTTCAAATATTAAACAAAAAATAAACTATCCACTACTATAAATGTGTAAAAGGGACATGCTACACTGTGTCGATAAAGTATCAGTGAACATATAGATATGTTTTTACAGTATAAAAAAGCTTTTTTATTAAGTGCTAATAAATAAAGATGACCAAAATTTCATTTTATGATACCTTCTCTCACCTTAATATTGTCATGCAGTCCCATCACACATCTTTTTAATTCTCTCTCAGGTTTAATAGCAGCACATGTAGAAATACTCAGGAAGCTTTAAGAGAATGAAAAGGCAAAGATTACAATAGAGTACATTTTAATTATGAGTCATCCTGTTGGTGTTGTGTATAAAGTTATTCAAAGTAATGCAACTGATCTGTGGATACAAGGGATCCTTGTAGGAAACATTCCCAGTATTAACAAGCCATAACAAGAAAATGACTTTCAACTGATTAGGTACAGTACTGACTGGATTATCTGACTTGTGTTGTATTTGGTTAGTGTCTTTCCACAGTCACAGTAGGAGAGAAACGTGTCCTAACCCTGTAAAGCCTGACACATCAAAAAATAGCCAGAACATTCTAATTTTTTGGAACTGAGAAGTTTATTAAACTTTTTAACAAAATCCAAAAGAAAATTCAATGTTTTTATTTGCCATTTATGCAGACAGACAGACAGTGTGCAGGCATATAGGAATAAATGTGCCATATTAGTTTGTTTATTTTTATTATTTTTTGTATCACAATTGATAAATGAGGCATTTTTGGCAACTTTTTTTTTTTGCTCAGAAACTCACATAGAAAATATGATACAAATGGTTTTATAGGGTTAAGTGTGATAAATGATAACTTTAGACAAACATGCACACCACATGCCTACCTTACAACTAAGACACAAAGCCACACCTGAGGTTTGTGGCTCTCTCGGCACAGATTACAGGTCGACTGGAGCTGGATGCCTTTCTAGAAATAATACAAAGACATATTACTGTCATTGTAGTTTAGTCAAGCTTAAATGACTCTGTTGAGAGAAGAAGTACAGGGTCTATTTTACCTTGTTTTTTGTAGTATTCACACATATTCAGAATTCAAGACAATACTTCTACTACTCTCAAATCACAAACCATTTTTCCTTGATAACCAGTACTAGATTTTCCTGACAAAGCTTTAATGTAACATAAATACTCACTGACTCATTTCCTTTCATTCCTCAGTTATTCATACTATAACTATGTGCCAGTTCATCATCATCAGAACTGCTGTTTCCATTCAAGTGTTTCTCTGCTGTGATTTCTCCGTAGCTTTATGTAGACAGTTCGTTTGTTGAATGTGCTCTTAGTACAGTGTTTGTGGTTGTGGTTGTTTGTGTGTGTGTTGCATCGGTACCACAGGGTACCACAGTTTCAGAATGGGAGGCTGGGCTGATTCAGTAGCCTACAGAAAAGTGTTTTATCTTTCAAAACAACACAACTCTAGTGGTGCTTTTACACTGGTATAACTGTTTTTATTTAGTAAATTCAGTACTTAGTGATTTGGTTACTCAGTAAATTTGTCAACATTTTTGTGCATATTTTAATATGTGAACGTATTATCCAAAGTAATGCAAAGATCACAATATTAGGTAAAACAAGCCAGTTTGGCACAGTGGAAGGATCAGAAGGATAAAGACAGGCTCTGGCATGTTAATGCATGAGGAGCAGGCGGTCCAATGTGGCTCTGTATGGCCTCAGCTAACCCCACTACCTTTATCATCATTAAATACTGAGGCAGATGGAGTTGAACAGAATACTCAGAAATTATGATAGGCTGCAAAACGCTTTGAGACAGTGCATCACCCTTTCCCAGGTGGGCTTAGACTGGACATCACCAGGCTGCAATTTACTGTACACTGCAGTTTTGTCCATTATTGATTGATATGTCAGTTATCCAATCAGTTATTCAAGTCTTGTTAATAAAATGTCAGGAAACTGTGAAACGTGCTTGTTGTAATTTATCAAAAAGCCAGAGGGTAAAATCCAAGAAACATTCAGTTTAATATCATGTACAGTGTTTTCCTGATGTTGCTGTGATGCACAGCTGGTTCCCAGAACTAGTTGTCTTTGTTTTACACATGACACTTGATTTGAAGGGACAAATTAAAGCTGTTCCCCGTTTTGGGAGGCAAAGCCAGACCAAGCAGATTGTGTCACAATTTCAATAGCAAATTTGGACCTAAATGTAAGAGGCAAAACAACTGTGCTGAATTTTCTGAATTTATTAGAAACAGGCAGGCTAAGTCACACTTTTCTTTCAGCAGATTGAAACATGGGAAAGGCAAAACCCTCTGATAAGAAGCTGTAGAGTGACAGATAATAGTAGAGGGCAAGGCAAGGGAGATTAAATAGGAACAGTGTGAATGATCAGGGCTGGTGATGAGAGTGGTATCGCTGTAGGCTATAAATAATTGATTTGATTTGATTTGATTTATTCTTTCAAGCATGTAGAAACAGTTGATATGACAACACACATAATACGTGTTTATTCAGTGTAATAAATGAATGCCACATTAACACAACTAAATAAAATAATATCAGTGAATGTGTGCTATTTGTAACTCCAGATAGTCTACAGATATGGACAGACTTTGATACAGTTGGTCATTGGTCACAGTTTGACAGAGCTTCACTGTCTTCACTGTTGTTTTTTGGCAAATAGCCCAAAATCTGAATATATGTAATTTACAGTTATTTAAAACAAAGAGAAGCTTCAAATATTCATGTCTGAGAAGCCAGAATCATCAATTGTTGACCTTTTGAGTTCATAAATTACTTTAATGATTAACCGATTATCAAATCTTTGAATGATATCACACCTTTCGTTGGCTGTTATCACTGTATATCGGGATCATTCAGTGCCCTACTCCACCTCCTAGTTAACGCAGTAGGATGTTATCACGTGGCGGACCATCGTCGTCATGGTTACAATAATAAACCCAACACAAAAATGACCTGGGAATGTTTGGTTTGAATTAAAATAACAGCTTAGTAAAGTAGTAACACTGATTACTGGTATTAAATGGAAAACAAACAGCTATCTCAAAGTCTGTGTTTTATCATATGGAGACTCTGTGGGATCATTCCACTGCCACCAGGAACCGTCCAATACTCAGGCCAGCTCGACGGCTATTGGACCGAGCTGCCTGACCCCGTCACAAGTTTGTGTTTCCATTGCACAGCGTGAGCATTGCTCTTACGGAGTACGTTATGGTGTCGTCTTCTGCTTGACCAGAGCAGACATCAACAGAAGTCATACAACAGAGCAAAGGTGTTTCAGCAAACATAGCTGCTGTATTGCTTCCTTTTATTTCTTCATAATGTGCTGCCGTCTCCTTTGTCTTTCTTTGTTTTTTAAAACGGGTGGGTCTCTTTCTTAAGCCAAGACACTGTCCTGTTGCTCACGTTTTCTCTGTCAGTTAGAATGATATAGACAGCCAGTTTGGGAGTGGAGTGGTAAGCTCTGGAACCTGCTTCTGATCAGGGCCAGGTATCTCTCTTTTCAGCCCAGTTTCAGCCCAGGCATGGTCCGTTTCTGAAACAATGGAAACACACAAACCCCGGTACAGTATATGTATGGTACGGTTCCCGGTGGCAGTGGAATGACGGCAAAAGTGACCAATGTCTGTTGTTTTTGTCATAAATACTAGTGGCAGTGGTAGCTTTATCTACCGGTTAAAAAGGCAAATTCTTGTGTTAAGACGCTGCTTGAATGTTTCGATGACATTAAATCTTGGTCTCTAGGTGTCACTTTGAGACACTTGTTCATGCTTTTATCACCTCCCGACTGGATTACTGCAACACATTGAATCTGGGGGCTGCTGAGTCTTCCATCACTCGCCTCCAGATGGTCCAAATCTTTTAGCAGGTACAAGAAAATATGAGCACATCTCTCCAGTTTTAGCTTCACTGCACTGGTTACCTGTTTATTTTAGGGTTCATTATAAAATTTAACTTTTTGTTTTTAATTCCCTTCATGGCTCTGCACCACCCTACTTATCTGATTTGCTTCCCTGGCACACACCCACACGTTCTCTGAGGTCAGCCAATCAGCTTGTTTGCAGTCCTTGGTCCCAAACTTTGGAACGATTTACCGCTGCCCATCAGACAAGCTTCTTCTCTGTCTGTTTTTAAGTCTCTTTTAAAAACTCATTTATTTTTGTTGCCGTTTTGATACTTTATATTGGTGTTGATTTTATTTATTGATTCATGTTTTTATATTGGCATTGATTTTGTTTGTGCTTGTGGGTTGTGTTTTTAATATATATTGTTTATTGCAATGTACAGCACTTTGGTCCACCTTGGTTGTTTTAGTGCTTTTTAAATAAAGTTGGTATGGTATGGCCACTAGAGGTTACCTAATTACAACATGCATCAGTGAAATCCATCTTCTGACCTACTGGCAGGTACGGTTTGCACCTACTGCCTTTTACAGAAAGTGGTAAACCTGGGACAGTAGCATTGTTTAGAGATTGACCTGTGTGACCCTGATGTGACAGTGAAAAGTGTGAAACAACTTCTTTGACAATTGTTGTGTGAAAAGTAAAGAGAACTGTTTGAAGAAAAACAAATTAAATGTTAGTTAATGCCTTTGACCTTGTGATGACAACATGACGAACATCAGGCGTTTTAGCATTTTGCTCAGTACGTATTGTGCTTCTGTTATGTTCCTGCATTCTTCTTTGTGGCTGCTTTTTTGTGCATTTTCTTTGTTGTTGCAATTCACAAGCAATGAAGTACACTGATCAAAAATATTTCAATTTGATAATTATAGTGGAAGAAGTACTTAAATCCTTTAGTAGAGTAAAAGTAGAAATACCTCAGTGTAAAATATACCTAAGTATCTTGTAGTGTATTTACTTGTCAAACAAAGCACTCATTATGCAGTAGGATGCCTCTTTTTGTATTATTACGTACTACATTTGGGCATTTAATAGTTCACTGTTAGAAACAGTCCTAGTGTAAAGCAGGTGACACAAACAACCACTGCTGGAATTAATATCGCAGTAAAATTAAAAAATACAAACAGACTTATTTGACGCTTTAGAAGTTAGCAACCTCACACCCAGGCTAACTCAGTTCTAAATGCCTTGTTTTCATGGTAACAATCAGTGGCAGCTGCTGACAGGTGCTATCAAATGACAAAAACGTGGATCATAACATGTCATTTGCTAAAAATATTGTGGCGCAAGCGAGATACAGCAGTGAGGACAGTGATAGTTTGTCCAACGAGAGCATCCTGAGTCTGAGCGACAGGTCAGCAGTTATACTGCAGTCTGCCACACTAAGAGGTCACAGGTTCTCACCTCTGCTACAGGATATTTGAAGCTCCTCTTCTCACACTCTTCACTAAATTTTCCCAGTAAAAGATGTTTGTTTGGCATGTCGCCTAGGATCCTTTGCAACTTCTGCAGCTGCACCATTGAGAGCATCTTGACCAGCTGCATCACTGTCTGGTATGGCAGCACTACTGCTATGGACTGCAAGCACCTGCAGAGAGTGGTAAAGACTGTGGAGAAGATCACCAGGACTCCACTGCCGTCTCTGCAGAGCATTTACCACCACAGGATGCATAGGAAAGCTGCTTCCATCCTCAAAGACCCCACCCACGGACTGCACTGACTGTTCATGCCCCTACCCTCCAGTCGGAGGCTCAGAAGTGTGAAATGTGGGACCT